TGGGAGAGAATCCAAGTGCATTGCTTGAGTGTTTGCATCTAGAGGCACTTGGTGTTCGTGTTTTGCTGCGGGTTTCACTTGTTACTCTTGGTGGTTGCCGCCACCTAGATGGCTTGGAGCAGCGAGGATCGTCGAGCGGAGGTTGGTGATTGTCTCCGGCTCCGATCGTGGTGATTGTGAGGGGTTCTTGACCTTTCCCCGGTGGAGAGCCAAAAGGTACTCTAGTGGATTGCTCATGGCTTGTATGATCCTCATCTTATGTTGGTTGTGCGGCACCCTATTGAGGGTTTGACGTGTGATGCCAATTAACGCGTGAATCTCCAAGTGAGTGAATCGCCACAACGAGGACTAGCTTGCCAGCAAGCAAGTAAACCTCGGTAAAAATTCATTATGTTCATCATTTGATTCCGAGGTGATTGATCTTCATTGGTATTCATTCTTGTGATTGATTGGTTCCTTCCTCGACATGGTGGTATAAACAAATTGCTCACTCTCTTTACATTACCGCAAACTAGTTGTCAAGCTCTTTAGCGTAGCTAGTTGTGAGAGCTTATTAGTTTGGTTAGTGTGGCTCTTTAGTTAGCCTTTGAGAGCACACTAACTTAGTGTAGTGACATAGCTATTGTGTGGATAGAAACTATATTAACTAGAATTGTGGTAGGTGGCTTGCATTTTTAGTAGGCTAGCGCAACACTTGCTTCGTCTCATAATTGTCTAACCGGTTTGTTAAGTGTTGTTGTAGAGATTTTTTAATAGGCTATTCACCCCCCCTCTAGCCATTAGGACCTTTCAATGGGGCTGTCACCAACCGCTGCTACCACACAACCAAAAAGCAGGGAACAAACACAGGTAGCCGATAGCCTAAGCACCATGCTTATGCTACGATTACTACTCTAATCTAGAGGCCTAACAAGGACTAGAGCACTCAAAAGAATTGTGAACCCATGAACAATAGAGCACAAAAATTACTTTAAATAGAAATCAATTACCAGAAGTATCTCAGATGTAGACTTGGAGAAGCCTAGATCCGCCAAAGTACAAGCCGTAGAGGTAGCACCGACAGGCGACACTCCCTCCAAACTCTTCCCTTACTCTCTCTCTCTATTTGTATACAAAGACTAGATCCTAATGAGAACTAATCTTCTCTTGATAGCTGGCTCTGAGAGGTTGATCCTTTCATGGGACCCCTCTCAATTGATCCTGACTAGACAATATGAATTAGGGTTTCAGGATGCCTTTGTCTTAGGGGGTACAGGGCTATTTATATAGGCTGGAGTGATGAACCAGAGCCCTCGGATCAAACCAACCTTGATCAACGGCATAGATACAATCCTTAAGGCGGTGGAGGACCGACGTATGAAGGCGGCTGACAAGTGGGACCGAGGGTGGCCGGCTGGCCATGCCCTATGCCAGGTGGGCCCCTCCTTCGGGGGTTCGCCTTCTCGTGTCTTTTGGTGTTGGGGATGCGAGTCGAATCTCTTTCTAATATCGGTTTGCTTGCTTGGAGAGTATGACAGTGGTCCCGGTGCTGTTTTTCTGGATAAATCCTCCGGCAATATATAAATCACCAAAGCTTGTGGAATTCATTAGTTTAAACCCCTAAACCTATGTTTGGCGATGGAATTAAGTGTATATGCCGGTTATGTTGATGGTTTATATTCGACGTTAGTGACCGTCAACAGTCATCATTACTTCATCTCAAACAGGAACTAATGCAAATGGACTACAACGGGACAATTGAAACATGAGAACACTTACTTGTGTAAATCAACTCCAGTCGAGAACGGATCAGTTGGCCAAAGCTGCCTTACTCCAAATTGGCGTGCAACTCTATCCGGTAGGTGGAACTCGACAGCATAGAAGCAGATTAGAGGGCACTTCATCCTATAGAGGTCGTTGTCGCACCCGCAGTTGATGCTCAACCTAAAAGGAAGTGCCCTCTCTCCATCGTACGGCTCCCACGTCACCTGCAACATGTCCAAACAAGATGTTAGATGGCATACTAAAGCATTTCCAAGCACCATGGGAACTAATATTTACTTACACTAGAGGCTGTGAGCCTGTCAAGCTCGTTCGTGAACTCTTTGTAAGCCCGGTCCATCCTCGCGTGCGGAACTCTAACCTGGTCCCAAAGGTACGGCCACGCCAGCTATCGATGTTCAGGATGACCTGGGAACCAGTCACGACGAGCCATCACAACGGGACGGCCAACAGGAAGACGAGACCACATCCACAACTGGAGTAGGTACACACATCCACCAAGTGAGGCTGAGGACGAAGACCGACGACACGCCTTGCAAAGCTGGCGGTAAAGGATAGCCAACACTGCAGAGCCCCAGCTGTACTAACCCGCCTGGTCCCAGTCAGTGACGCAGTGGACCCACATCCACGACGCAGTGTCCCCCGTTGCGTCGGGGAAGAGAACGCAGGCAAATAAGTGCAGGATCCATGCCCTGCAGTAGTACCCAACTGTCTCGTCGTCTATAAACTGAGGGCACTGTGCAAACTCTGTCCGGAGCCAGGAGATCAAAACTCCAGAAGTACGAGCCCTAGTGTCACCAACCTCACGCCCAAGGAAGGCCTCTACTCGTGCTCTCCAACCTTTTGACCTGCACGGCCCTGTCACTGCCCTCTCACGAATCATCAGATCTAGCATGTTCTGACAGTTCTTGAGCGTGACTGTCATCTCCCCGAAAGCCAAGTGAAAGTTGTGAGTCTCAGGGCGCCACCTACATTTCAGGTAAAGCAATTTTACTTGTTAAAGGCAAGCGCATGAACAAATGCGTACCGATGGAGCCAAAGATTGATGATAATACCGATGGACCTCGCCGTCGGACGTTGTACCACCGGTATGCTTGACCTCATACCTCCCTGTGACGTGGTCAAAACATGTAACCTCATGTGTGGCAGTCCTTTCCTTGGCCTTCTCTAGTTGTGCCTCTGCTTTTGGAGCCCATCTTTTTCCATCACTCTGCAACTGCATTGTATGGGCGTGTCTATCGTTGAACCAGGCAATAAGCTTGTAGAAGGTGAATTGCACGATAGCATTCACGGGCATACCACGTATCCCCAACAGTAACTTATTGAATGACTCGGTCATGTTGCTGCACTGAAACTCGTACCTTCATCCACCGAGGTCGTGAGCTCTTGTCCATTTCTCCAAATCTCTCATCAACCCTGTGAGTCATTGTCTACCTTCAGCATTTGAAGCGGTTCTGATCTACTTCAACTTTTTTTGAAAGTACCTGTCCTCAAGCTGTCGAGCTACCTCTAAAAAAATCAAAGTTATCATTCAATCCTTCCGAAGTAGATTCTCGATAAGGTGTCGAGTACACCAATGATGGTGCAAAGATGCATCCCCTTATCTTCTTGAGACGCAGCCGGAGAAGACACTCGACGGCCTCGAGACGACATGGCGGAGTTCACCCTCTTCTTGGAGGGATACCCTCGCATCCCCCGGTAACCGTACAGCACGCACTTGGATGTTGGGGCGGCAGATGGAGATGGAGACTATCGTCGACTTCCTGCCCCGGCCAGAAGCCCCTGGAAACGAAAATCCCGGCGTCCTTCCAATAGTTGGCGCGGCTGCCTTGACGAGAGGCTGCGCGGCCACTTCTCATCCATTGTTGTCTTCACCGTGGAAGATCTTGGCGCTGGAGACCTCGCTGCTTTCAGAGGCAATGCTGTGGTCAAGCACCAAGACGTCGCTGCTGCCTCGCATGGCAGTGGCAGATCACTTGTTGTCATCGAGCTAGTCGGGGACGTGGACGATGAGACGTGGGGAAGGCTGTACTCCTCGGCAGCAAGCAGCATGGGGAATAGGACTGGGAGCAAGATTGTAATCACAAGCTGGTCGGAGAAGATAGCTGCTCTCGGGACAACCAGGGCTCTCAGACTGAAGGCTCTCTCCAGAGAAGCCTACTGGTACTTCTTCGGGTCACTCGTGTTCGGAAGCGCCAACCCCGGTGATCAACCAAAGCAGCTCGCGTCCCTGGGCATGCAGATCGCGGAGCTGCTGGACGGTTCCTTCTTGGCAGGAAACATAGCGGCGAGCTTGATGAGAGCCAACATGAACGCCGAGTTCTGGAGCAGGGTGCTGCACTGCTTGAGAGACTACACAAGGAAACACCTGCTCATGTTTGGTGTGCGTCCTAGCCACCTTCTGCAGAAAGGCAAGTCTGTGTGCCTTTGGAGAATGGCCAGGGCACGCGATGCGATTACAATCTGCAACGTCTATCAGCTGCCGTCTCCCCAGGACGATGTCCCTGATGTAACTGTGCAAGATCTTCTATCAGGGCGTGTTACTCAGGAGGGGAATTTCAGTGCGGTGGCATGGAGATCAACCATTCCGCCCTATTACACCTACTTGGTCGGCTGCGTGCGCGTCGCAGACGTCCGGATGTTCTACAGTCAACAAGAAACGCCATCGGCATGCAAGGGTGTGACCTATTGGAATGAAGAGAGTATCAGAGTTTACATGTAACCCTAAATCATGTAGTCCGGTTTCCATCAGGCTATTTGCTCACAGGACACCATACATAATCCAATGGATGGAATGGAAGTGCCATCTCTCTCAGGTGCGTCCACAGGGCATAGCATAGCCACATATATAGGACACTGCAGCCTCAAACAGCATCTAAAGATTCAAGAGCAACTGACCAAAATGACCTGTAGGCTATAGCCGCTAAACCTAAACGGTGTTCACAGATAAAAAAACCATATCGCAGACCGAACAAAGATAAAAACGAAGGCAAGCTGTAGGTGACAAACATGCTAGGATTGCCCATCTTCAACAAAATTGGTAAAGCTAGCCTACAAAATTAGAGGCTAATTCTGATAAACAACTCCGGTATACAACGTCGAATACCACATAATGAAAGAAAGCCACATGCAACATCATTATTTGTTCCATTTAAACCGTGGCACAGAAATTTAATGTCCCACAAAATTTAAAGATGACAAAAGCAGACAATGCAATGCTCGGTGACACTGCGCGCCCTTCACTTCCCACCAAGGCTTGGGAATTGAGCTTGATCTTCAATGGATGGGGCAGCAGCTGGGCCACGATTGTATCCCCCTCCGTATCCGCCTCTAAAACCACCACGCTCACCACGGCCCCTTCCACGACCACGGCCACCATAGTACCTTTCTCCTTCAGCAGGTTTCAGGAACTCATTGATGCTCACCAACTGCACCACGAGATTTTAACAATTATCACATCAGCACCCAGGTTTTTTCCCCAACTAAGCATTAATCACAAAGCAACATAACATAATAATAAAAAACAGCATGGAAGCGACACAATCCTATGATTCATTGTAGTAAGACTGCCCCCCGCTTTTTCCCCTTGTTCACATTTTGTGTATCAAGGTTGAAGGTTCAGAATATTTATAGAAGTCTCAAATCACAGGATTACAGTTTCAGAGCTAATTCAGGTTACAGTCCCTATAACTTAGTTTAACAATCATCACGTCAGCACCCAGGTTTTTTCCCAACTAAGCATTAATCAGAGAGCAACATAACATATAATAATAAAAAACACCTTGGACCTGACAATTCTATGGGTCATTGCAGTAAGACTGCCCCTGCTTTTTCCTGCTTGTTCAGATTATCAAGGTTGAAGGTTCAGAATACTTATAAGTCTCAAATCACACGCTTACAATTTCAGAGCTAATTCAGATTACGCTCCCTGTAACTATGACAGATTCATAATCGGATTGGGCTAAATTCACTCAATTCAAACATTCAATGAGAAAAGCGATAAGCTAAAGAGATGTAGAACAAAATCTATCACATACAGAATCAACACACCCCACGAAGAAACAAACATATGCAGTTGTAGTGCGACCATATGTCAGCAACTATTTTGATTTCCAACTACAAAGACAAGAGAAAGATATGCATACCTTCTTGGCACGCTCAGCACTTTCCTTCTTCTTATCCTTGTCAGAACCCTAAGAGAGCAAAAAACATATATCCATGAACACATGCAAAGCTCAGTAAAATTTAGGTATCAAAGCATTAAATACAAGGAAACTAACCAGCTTAATGAACACTTCATCATTTTCTTTCTTATTTGAAAGTGGCTGCAGAGACTGCAGATCCTTATCAACTTCCACTTTCCTCTCTTCAGCCTTCAAAGCAAGTAGTGCTTTCCTCTTCTCCTCTCTTATTTTCTCAAATTCCTCCAAAGTCATCTCCTGCATAGCTGAATATTAGAAAGTAGATCGATCTGCACCAATATCATTACAAGAAAGGGCCAGCAAATAGGCTTTAGGCTTTAGCTTGTTTGGGGCGGAAAAAAAGTTGTGGTAGTACATAGCATTTTTTTGCCTGAACAGGATACCTCAGGATATGACAATGTGCTTAACAAACAATGATAATAACAAGATTAAAATTGGCTTCTCCAAAGACAAACACAAAAACAACCAAGTTACTTGTCATTGTACTAGGAACTTAAACTGGTTAACAGAGTTCAAAATTTGATAGTTCTACCCTGAGCAATTCCTAGTCTTAGACTTGAAACCATGGTCATCAGACAAACATCACAACCCCACTCTCTTACAGTCTACAATCGCACATATATCATCCAGTCTTCTCACAGAAGGGCCATTACAAGCGAACACTGCCACTTAGACAGTTAGACATTAAATGGACTTCAAAGTGGATAAAACCAAATAAGCTGTTACCTTGTCCTCTTCCTTTTCTTCCTCCTCATTTGCAGCAGCATCCTTGTTATCTTTGTTCTCATCCGCTGCTGGGGCATCATTCTGCTCACCCTGTCTCTCAGCAACAGGAGCACCCTCCTCCACCTTCAGAGCTTCCTCTGTTTCCCTAGTCAGAGGATTTCATTAGTAAAACTAACCTTCCAAAGGCATAGTCACAGAAATGCTACACTAAAAACAATACAGTATACAGTATAATCTCCTTACTGGGCAAGAACCTCATCAGTGGCAGTGCCCCAGTTCCCACGTCCTGCGCCATCACGCTTCATCTCATAGCCACGGCCAGTCCCGCTGTGGCGCTCATAGTTTCTCCGTGGTGGCCTCTCAGAATCATCACCAAACTCACCATTCCTGTAACCACCACGTCTGCCTCCACCGCGGTAAGGGGGACGAGGGCCTCTCTCCCTTTCCCCTTCAGCTCCACCAGTTACAGCACCATCCCCATAGCCTCCGCCACCATAGCCTCCACCACCATAACCTCCCTGGAAGTCATTGGCATTGTCCCCACTGAAGTCACGGTTCTGGCCATATCCCCGTCCACCTCTACCACGGCCGCGTTCACCACGGTTAAAGCCTCCACGAGCTGATGCACCACCACCGCGGGAATCTCTCACTGAAACATGTAAAATACAAAGAGTCCAAATGAATATTCGTGCTTTCAGGAAATGGAGGCAATAAAAAAAACTATTTGATATGAACTCAGGCCTGAAGAAAGGTAAAAATTCCACTTTGCAGCAGCGGAGAGCTCGCAACTTTACAAAACACACCATTCAAAGTTTGCAACTAGCATGATGCGGCCTCAAGGATGGATAAAAATTCAGAAATATGCTCTAAACATCACTAAAATGCTCGTGCAAGCCGGAGCATTTCGAAAGCTGCAAGGAGCCCAAGTGCCCGGAGAGCCAAATCCAGCACCCTGAACAATCACGACTCACCAGTCTGCGAGGGGGGAGCGTGCTTGGTCGGGAACTTGGCGGCCGCCGCAGGCTGGGCAGCCTTCCCAGCAGGCGCTGCGGCGGACTTCTTCGCCTCGGCTTTCTGAGCCGCCGCCTCCGCGGCGGCAATCAGCTGCGAGGGGTCGTCGTTGTCGTCGGCGCCGAGGAGTTCGAACGGGTTGAGGGTGGCCATGGCAGCGGCGGCGGGGAGGCTTCAGTAGGGTCGCGAGGTACCTGATGAAGAGAGTGGATTCAAGCACTAGCAGCTTCGTCGGACGGGTTGGGCCGCCATTAGAATAAAGGTGAAGGAGGGAAGGGGGAGAAGAGGGTAGGGTTTTGGGCGGCGGCGGCGGCGGCGGCGAGGGGCTGGAGACGGGAGGGAGAGTGTGACAAGAAGAAACCCTAGCCGCACTTCTACGCGAGCTCATATCCTTTCGCCTCCGTGTCGGGCTGCTGGTTTTTTGTTTTTCCATTTCTGCTCAGAAGCTCCCGAATTACGGTAATAACCTTGAGCCTGAGAGGTAATTGCCGTTTTGTTAGCTGTTTGGCCGCGCATTTGACCCGAATTGGCGCGCCGGGGACCGGAGGGGTATATATGGAATTTCTAGGATCGGTGGTTTTCGGGACTGGGGCGCTCGTGGGTTCGGGAATCTGCCCATCTGGAGCCGTCGACCGCGAATCGAACGGATGTGATATCTTCTCGGATGGAAGAAATGCACGCGGTTCTTTTCTCCCGAGAGACAAGTATCGTGCGGATCTTTTTCCATCCTCTTTTCTTCTGCCTCCACTCCATGGGCGTTCACTGTGTCTTCATGAAACGGCGCCGCCGCCCACTGCCCGGCCGTAGTGCGGCATGGTCTCGCCGGCCATGGAGCTCCGACGAGACTCTACCATGTCCGTGGCGACCTCCTTCTCATCTCCTGTTGTCATCCTGGCCATGGACGCCCCACCCTAACCTGGCCCAGCTGCCTCCTCCATCACGCACTCAGGCGGCGGCACCGCTGTCTCTCCCGTCCCCACCACCTAGCCTACCTGTCTCCCTAGAAATTTTTTCTAAGCCCACCGGAGTTAGAGAAGAAAAGAGGAAAAGGAAGAGAAGGGAAAAATCAAGTGTTGATTTGCTCCAAAACACTTAAGTGTTATATAGCATTTGTTTAATTAACTAGATATATGCCCGTGCGTTGCACCGGGGGCTATATTTTTACTCACGCGCATCTACGATGATAAATTTGATTATTTTCAAAAAAATTAAAAAACTAATACACAAATTTATATTGGCAACCCTAAACTCTTTATAAATTTTTTATATATATATGGAACAATGTTTTTTCCATCTACTCTGTGCATCCTTGTCCTTTTTTTCATGTTGGAGTGTCCATCCGTGATGTTTTTTTCTCATCATTTGCGTTTGCGTACGCCCCTCGTAGCCATGAAGTTTGACAAGGGCACTCCGTTGTCACAGATGATCTCCATCACCGTTACCACAGCGGTCCTCGCGTCATGCTTGCCCTCGCCGTCGTCTCGTTCTATAGCTGGAGGCGCGCGCCCAGGAGATTACCGGCGGCGCGGCTCTCTAAGATTTACCGGCGGCGAGCTCGCGCACGAGTGTAGCACTGTCGTCTTAGGTGAGCACCATGACCCTTCTTTTGATCTTATGGTGACAGGATTCGACTGAGGTTTGTGAATTTGTTTCTTAGGGTTCTAATTTTGGGTAGAAAATCCCGATCTGAGGTTCCTAATTTTTGGGATTTAATGTCTAGGGTTTCGGATTTTGTGGCACCTGAGCCTGGGCTTCCGTTTATAGATCCATAAAAACGGCAAGGTGGCACCTGAGCCTGGGCTTCCGTTTATAGATCTGACGCGGACTTCGTGGCTGCACCCGACACAGACTCCGCAGGGGGCAATCGATTATGGCAGGCGGAGCGATCGATTTGTTGATCCGACGATGACGTTAGTTATTTTTTAGGTGTAGATAGAGTCTTCGAAGGCGTCTCGGATCAACTCCTCCTCATCTTCGGCCACCGCCACGGGGGCATGCGATTTTTTGCGGGCCAATGTGTGCCGGACGACGAGGCGTCTAGTAACATGCCCGTTCATCGACTACATCCTCCAGAACATCATGAAAACGCCCGTGGATTTATTAAGTACATGTGACACAGCGATACGGTTGCTGACTGGATTTGACGCCGTAGTCGGTTGAGAGACCAAGTTTTTTCAGGGCCAAACTCGATGATCGGGTTCATCGGCATGTAATCTGTCGTTTATATAATTTTGAATGTGGAACATTTTGTTTGGGAAACGGTTTTTTTTCTGTATATGATTTTCGATCCGGATGAGTTTTTTTTCCTGAAGCGGGTTTTTTTGCCTTATATGTTTTTTCGCAAATGTTTTTTTGCTGTATTTTTTTTTGAAATGTTATTTTGAAACGGGGACGTGGAAGAGTTTGTTTCTGAAAGTTTTTTTATTAGGTTTTTTTGCCGTATTTGATTTGGATTGGAAACGGGAAAACTTTTTTTTGTCGGGTTTCTTTTTGCCTTACCTTTTTTTGCCGTTGTTCTTTTATGGTGTTTTTTTTCGGGGGCAGGAGCGGGGCGACACAGACGATCGCTGTAGGGAATTTTTATTCAGGTGTAAGAAGCCACGCTATATTCTTATAAAAAAAGGCCACGCTATATTTGCCATAACATTTTTGCTCAAGACTATTAAGGTTAGCCTTGACACATATTTGTAGCATAACATAAAAAACCACCACCTAACTTTAGGCAAACTTAAATTGCAGCACTAACCAAACATTAGCTAAGAAAATTATGACTGTCTAAGCTTAGCTGTGACAATCTTATATTACAATCTAAATATACCCTAAGTGTTAGTTTGTTGGAGTTAAACCAGATCAATGTCCCCATGGTGGACAATCCAATATGTTCCTATCAAGAGGTAAGAGTGACAATCAAGTCTACCATCACTAGATCTCATATTCCTAAAAATTTGCAATATAGGATATATAGAACATCCACCACATATCCTATCACTTTTATTTTCCTATGTTTTTTTAGAGATCTTCTAATTTACTTCCACACTTTCCTAAAGATAGGACTATAGGAGACACAACAACCCTCTCCTATCTGTGGGTTCCACTCAAACACCCCTCTATCGTCACGTTTTTCGTCATTTCTGTCCACGAGACGCGCACCCGTCCGCCTGGCATCGTGCCATCGTCTACGACCACCACCATGTGTGTGCGCCATCCACAACCACCGCTGCCCTCAGCCACATCACATGCCTCCTTCTACAAGCCCGGGGCGTCGGTTAAATACGCGGGCTAGCTAGTGCTACGTGCGCGTTGCTGCGATGATGAGCAGCAATCAGTGTGTAGTCTGCCTAGGCTTTGTCTCCTTGTATGTTGTTATTTCCACTCAGACATTGCTGCCAATATTAGCAGACAGGCAAATAGAGAAGAGAAGCATGTCGGGGCAATGGAAAAGGAGGAGCCCAGTGGAATCCTGATGAGATCAATAGAGAACGTAGGGAGATTCATCAACCACCGGCTATCTACATAGCTCGTGTGTTCAAGTCATGGAGGACCGTGGTGAGGCACCATGTGTAAGAATGGATTTAAGGGATGAGTTTTGAGTAATATGCTGAGTACAACACTCCTACGTACTAAAAGTATTTTTTATGTAGTATTTTAATTTGTAAATGATCTAATGGTAATTTCAGCGAACGGTGCTTTTTTGTCAAATGAAACTATCACTAACTTGGTAAGCCTCACGTCTTGCGATACCACCTTGTTGCCCATTTGGTGTGGATATTTAAGAGATTGATTGGATCACTCTATCTACCTCAGGTCACTCAACACTCGTTAACACGTTATCCTATACTTTTATAAAGCAAAACCCCACTACCAATTTTTCCTGACATGCAAGGTATCCGCCTTAGTAGTCCACTTGCATGCAAGGTGTCCACCTCAGCATTCCACTATCACTTGCAATTAAAGTTCACTAGCACAAGCAATTATGATATCCACATGAGCGAGACACATCATTCACTAACATATATTTAATTGTCCACATCAACGTGCCACGCTGTCCACTAACATTAGTTTATAATAGTTAATCCTTCATAAGAATTGTATGAACAGTTAAATTTTATTCCAAATCGGTAGTTCCCGCAACAACGTGCGGGGTGTTCTTCTAGTAATTAATAACTTTAAAAGACTATTTATATCCATCCTTTTTACTAGGAATAGATTTCTTTGAAAAAAGACCTCCAACATATATTTTATTCTGGTCTCCAAATGCTGATGGTGGCTATTTCTTGTTTTACACTAGCTAGACAAGAGTGTCTCCCAAAGTTTTTCTTAAGTTCACTTTGTAAATTGTCATTTAGAGAGCCATTTCAATAAAATTACTCTCTAAATCCTTTCACGCTTCAATAGCTTCTCTACGTCTTGCACTTTAGAGAGCCAACCCTGCTCTCCGTCTTTGGCTACCGAGAAATCCGAAAAAGAGGATGTGTGAAGATTGAATTAAAAAGCTATCGAAGAGTATTTTTTTCACCAAGATCTCTTGGCCAACATCAAGGGTGAGCCAGTGTCATCGCGCCGACCGACTGACCCCCCCCATGCACACACAATCAACCAACCATGCCATGAGCCCAAGAAGAAGAAGGTACGTTTAGAAATAGACCCTCAACCTTCTTTTTTTTCTTTCAGTGTTCTTCGAGACACGGAAAACTTCTAAATTACCTCTTGAAAGCCCTAGTTTAGTTTTGGATAATTGATGAAACCTTGGTGGACAAACCTTTGGCTTTAAGTGACATGAGATAGGTTGGTTCACACTAAGTGATGGATCAAGATAGCACTCAAGTGATGGAGATGGCCACATGTGATGATGATCAAGGCTGCAACTTAGAAAAGAAGAAAGAGAAAAACAAAATCCAATGAAGATCAAGGCAAAGCTATTGATAGAGATTTTGTTTTGCCAATCAAGACGCAATAGAGTGCGTGATTGGATTTAGGATAGATAGTCGTACTATTATTAAGAGGGGTGATCTCATGGTCAGTACAGTTATCTAGTGCCACTAGGTGAATTGACTCCATGCATTTGCATTATGACATAGTGAGTGCTAACATCCCTTGGAAAACATGTTTATGAAATGCTAACTCACGTACACAAGTGTTGAAAACTTGGTGGA